GGTGGAAGGGTGAGTGAGCATCAGGCGAGGCCAAGCCTTAACCCACCACATGGCCATGCTGGCAAATCCAAGATGGCAGATTTCTGAACAAGTCAGGATGGTAAGAAAACTTGGCAGAGCTTTATAATTTTTTTTATTTTAATTTTTTTGGTCAGTCATGGGGTCTGAACTCTGGGCCTGGGCGCTGTCCCTCAGCCCTTCAGCTCAAGGCGAGTACTCTACTACTTGAGCCACAGCATCACTTCTGGCTTTTTCTGCTTATGTGATGCTAGGGCCTCATGCATGCAAGGCAAGCCACCTTCCCAGCCCAGTGGAGATTTATTGAGTAAGCAAGCAGACAAACAAGCAGAAAGGAAGGGGCACACTCTTAACAGTGTGTGGGTGTCCTCGAGGAAAGGCAGAGAGTGAGTTTTAAATGATCTCCAGTCTGGAGTTGCAGAGAGAAAGATTGAACTATAAGATAGGGAAGGTTACCATTCTAAAGGAGATGGTTGGGAGGCAGAAGTGGAGGTCAACAGAGGGAGTTTACTTAGAGAGACAGAAGACAGGCAAAGAAAACCTAAACATTTGTCAACTCTGACCACATACCATTGCCATGGAAGAAATTGTCCAAATATGGTGGAGTCAAAAGTACTGTATTTAGGGTCTGGGAAGGTGGCTCAGTGATAGAGTGCTTGCCTTGCATGCACGAGACCCTGGGTTCGATTCCTCAGCACCACATAAGCAGAAAAAGGCAGAAGTAGCGCTGTGGCTCAAGTGGCAGAGTGCTAGCCTTGAACTGAAGAGCTGAGGGACAGCGCCCAGACCCAGTGTTCAAGCCCCACAACCAGACCCCCCCCCAAAAAAAAGTACTGTATTTAGGTCAGTGATTACAATTACCCAGTTGGTACTTAGGCTAAATTTCTTTTTTTTAATAAGTTTTTTATTGTAAAAATACTGTACAGAGGGGAAGGCCAAATTTCTAAGCAGTTTTTTAAACTTGTGATTGTTCAATTGACACTGAGTCCAAATTTCTAAGCAGATACTTTTGTTTTGATTTTAGATCTGGTTTCAAACCCAGAATGTCTAGCTTTTGAGAGAGAACCTAGAGAGGGGATCCCTGGAATCCAGCCTGCGTAGCATTCTTGCGGGCATAAGCCAAAAGGTTGGGCCAGGGGGCTGGGAAGGTGGCTCAGTGGTAGAGCACTTGCCTTGCATGCTCAAGGCCCTGGGTTCGATTCCTCAGCACCACATAAGCAAAAAGAAAAAAGCC